GGTCCCCTGGGGAGCTACCTCCCATGGCTGAGGGACGGGCCCGGGTGGGCACGGCACCCACTCCGCCCATTGCTCCCAGCCCTGTATTCACAGGCAGGGTGCAGGAAGGGGGCCTGGGCCTACCTCGGGTGACGACGCCCTCTAGCCGCACGATGTGGCTGTGGTCGAACTGACCCAGGGTGAGGGCCTCGGCCAGGAAGCTGAGCCTCTGAGAGTCCGAGCCGCCGTCCCTCCACCCGCCAGGCCCCCGCCCTGGCCCACCCAGCAGAGTGAGGAACAGCGACTCAGGGTCATGGGCTGCTTCTGGCGTGGGACTCGGAGCTCTGGAGTTCCAGTCCTGGGAAACCATGCCCGGGCTTCATCCTTCCCTCTCCTGGTCTCAGGTTCCTGCTCTGTGAGACGGGGGCTCCCCATGCCTGCCTGGGTGGGCGCTGGGAGCCTCAGAGAGCACATGCATGTGCCAGCGCTCCCAGAGTGGCCGGGATGGGCGGGGAGGACATCTACTCTGCCTGCTGCCCCTTTCTGACACAGCGTCAGGGGACAGTGCCGGGCCTCGGGCAGCAGCGGCCTCCTGTGAGCACAGGGGGCTGAGGGTTTTAAACAGGAAGAAAGGCGGGGGGGGATGGACCCTCAGAGTGAGCGGGCACCGACCAGAGCCAGGCCCTAGGAGAGCCAGGCCCTGCGCTGAGCGCCTGCAGGGGCTCCGCAAGGCAGACAGCGCGGCCACTCGACAGGTGGGAAGCAGCTCAGAACGGGGGACGGAAGTGCCACTGCCCACGCAGCTGGTCAGCGGTGGAGACAGAACTAGAATCCAGTCTGCAGAGACCACCCCTGAGGGCCTGAATGGAGAGGTCTTAGAGTGACCTTGAGGGCCCAGAGAGGGCAGGAAGGCAGAGCCACAGACAGTAGTGTCGCTCCCTTCCAGGAAACGTGGTGGAAGACAGACTTTCCCAGATCTGGCTTGGTGAGGAGGCAGGGCTTCCAGACATAGGGTGGGACTTGGATAGAGGTGGACTTACAGGGCACAGGGGAGGGACGGGACCAGCAGTTGGTGTAATGGCTATGTCGCTGGACGCCCACGTAGTCGACCACGGTTCGAGTCCCGGACCCGGTGGCTTAAACTCACGCTGGGCCCATGTGTATGTGCCCAAGATCCCAAGAGGAGAATGGAGGAGAAGGGATTGCGGCGTGACCATCCCCTCTGGGGGGTGATTTCTCGCTTTCTGTCTCTCTGTCTCTCTCTGTCTGTCTGGCAAGCGCATGCACCCTATAGCAAAAAATCTCTCCAAAAAAAGGGGGTGGGGGGTAGAGAGCATGGAGGCGAGGCTCCCAGGGCTCCCAGGTAGTGGGCAGATGGGCTGGGTAGAGGTGGGCTTCCAGATGGAGAAGAGACCTCCAGGTGGCCAGCTTGCCTGTTCCGAGGCTTTTCTCCAGGGTGACACTTTTCGCATCCAGCTCCTTGGCAAACAGGTGCACGGCCTGCAGGGGGTCCCCACAGCTCTGGGGGTCCAGGAACGTGCGACGTGTCGGGACTTTGACTGAGAACGCAGGGAGACAAAGATGAGCTTGAAGAAAGGATAATGCAAAGGCAGCGAGGCAGAGGGGTGAGGAGTGGGGGTGGAGGGGTGGAGCCCGCCTCTCCCAGTCAGGCCCCGAGGACTCACAGTGGAAGTAGAGCTCCTCTTCGTCGTGGGCGTCCCCACCTCCTTTGCCATAACTGCAGGGCCTGTGGGGAGAGGAGGATATAGTCATTTACTCCAGCACTTCCCATGGACAACCGTAGCCTGGTGGTTAAGGAAGCCAGATCCCACCTGGTCCTCCGCGGTTCAAGTCCTGGCCCAGACAGCTTGAAAAACACACTGTGTGTGTGTGTGTGTGTGTGTATGTGTGTGTGTGCCTCAAATCCCAAGTGGATGAAGAAGTGAAGAAGAGACTGAGGCTTGACCATCAGAGGGTGTTTTCTCTGTCTCTGTCTGGTGAGGACGCATGCCCTCTGGAACTTAGAAAGGAAAAAAAAAAAAAAAAAAGAACAAAAAAAAGAAAAAAAAAAAAAAAAAAAAAGACAGAGAAGCCTCCCGGTCAAGCTGGTGGAAAGTATCTCTGATTTGCCGGCTCCTGTCCATCACACATACACAATCCTGGCCCCAGCCCTAACGCCTCCCCCACCATTTCTGGCTATTTTCACTTCAAGACACAGTGGGAAATTCTTGCAGTTCTAGAGGCAGCCATATCCCCCCCTCTGACATTAAACCCCAAGCTA